CCCCCGCCTTTTTTTTCCCCCCCCCGCCTTTTTTTTTCCCACCTTTTGGGGGGGGGCCTTTTTTTTCTTTTTCCCGCCTTTATTTTGTGTGTCTTTCCTACTAACAGAAGTCTTGTCTTGTTTTTCTGTGCCATCCTTTATCATTTGGAGAAAAACCCGGAGCACACAGAGATTGCATAAGCCAAACAATAGGAATTAATGTTTTGGGGTTTATTTTAAGAAATGTATTATTTAGTCAAGTATGGAAAATTGAATGAAATTCAGGTTTGTGAATATGAAGGGATCCTGTGGATCTTGTGCTGACTTACGATGTAGATTTGAGTTGCTCTGATTCTGAGCATGTTTGCTAAGTTATAGAGAGCATTATATACCTGGTAGAGGTGCTGTGAAGATTAATGTTTTGTGGAATATTTTGAAGATGTACAGTGGAGTCATAACCATGTGCTGTATTACAAAACCAGTCTGTCTGAAAATATATGGTCTTCTATGGGAAGAGATTGCAGGAGGTGAATATGTTGGGTTTTTTTTTTTCCCCTAGGAACTTGAACGAGAAATTACATTTCAGGGTGACAGCGCCATTTATTACTCATTCTATAAAGAACTGCTAAAGGCTCCTTCCTTTGAAAGAGGTACAAAACCCGTTTGTTTTATTAACCTTGAAAAGTCCTGTTCCTTTGAGACAGTAAAAAACTCCTGCAAACTGAAGAGACTGATTTTATACTTTCAGATAGGTATATCAGTCAGATCAATTAAAAACTGCAATGCTGTCCTAACTTTTCCGTGCCTTTTGCAAAACAATATTTAACTATCCTGTATTCCAGCAGATTGCCTTTAATCAGTACTTTGGAATAGGGTTAATATTACTCTTGAATTGCCCCATATGGAAGTTATTGTTGGGTTTGTCTATACTACATAGTGGATTTTCTCCCATGTAAGCATAATCGATATTTAATTTGGGAATGGGGGATGGAAATGACTGTTTGCCATGCTCTGTCAGAAGATGGAACAGTTTCTGTCAAGAGTTGATCTGCTCCAATCCTGTCCCTGCTAGAGGTTTCTAATCCTGTCAGCTATGACAGCTTAGACTAGATATAGGGAAGGAATTCTTTACAGTGAGGGTGGTGAAGCACTGGAACGGGTTTCCCAGAGAGGTAGCAGAGGCCCCATCCCTGGAAACATTCAAGACCAGGTTGGATGGATCTTTGAGCAACTTTATCTAGTTAACAGTGTCCCTGCTCACTGCAGGGGCTTGGGCTAGATGACCTCTAGGGGTCCTTTCCAACCCAAAACATTCTGTGATTCTATGATGATGAATAGATGTTGATGAGCACTGAGTGCTGGGAACAGAAACCAACAGGAAGGAGAAGCAACAAGGATGATAAGGGGATGGGAGCATCTCCTCTATGAGGAAAGGCTCATGAGTTGGGCTTGTTCAGCCTGGAGAAGAGAAGGCTGAGAGGGGATCTCATCAACACATACAAATATCTTATGGGTGGATGTCACGAGGACGGAGCCAGACTCTTCTCAGTGGTGCCCAGCGACAGGACAAGGGGCAATGGGCACAAACTGAGACATAAGAGGTTTCAGTTGAATATGAGGAAGAGCTTCTTTACTTTGAGGGTGACAGAGCACTGGAACAGGCTGCCCAGGGGGTTGTGGAGTCTCCTTCTCTGGAGATATTGAAAGCCCGCCTGGACGATGTCCTGTGTAACATGCTGTAGGTGAACCTGCTTTAGCAGGAGGGCTGGACTAGATGATCTCCCGAGGTCCTTTCCAACCTTTGCCATTCTGTGATTCTGTGAGAACAAAATGCGTGGCAATAGTCTCTCCTCCCTCTGCACTCCTGCACTTTATCGTGCACCTGCTCTGGAGCTCACGGACCCCAGGTCCCTAAACTAGCAGAAAACTAAAGCAGCAAAAAGAAGATGGAACACTTTCATGCTAGCTTAGTGAGTTCAAAGGGCCACCTGGGCTAACATGGGGAAAGGGCGAGAACTCCAGGAAAGAAGAGGGAGTGAACAGCCCTGACTCGCAGCGGTCAGCTATTGAATTAGTTCAGTCCCTTTGTGAAACCTTGTCCAAAGCCAGTTAAACTTTGCAGGTATAGTTTTATTAGTCGAACAGTTTCCCAGCTGATGTGTAGCACGTCAGCAATATATAATAGGTCCTCATTATCTCTGGGGAGATTGCTGTGGCTGGATGGACTGCTTCATTCAGACATGCTGCCTCTGCATACAGGTAGACTCATGTATCTACTAGGTATTATGGGGGCACCCTGTTTTCAAAGGTGTATCATAGCTGTGCTGAACCCAGTTGTAAGTCCTGCAAGACCTGATTTGGCCTGCAGAGGACCATGCACCCAGATGTGCTCAGAGTTGGAAACAGTAATCTTGTTTGGATGTTGCATTGTTGTGGGGTGTTTTGTTCTTTTTTTTTTTTTTTTCTCTCTCTGATTTGGATTATTTTTCCTCTTCCCTCTATTGTCCTAAGTAATTACATCATTTTTTAAATTATAATATTTCAGAATGATGTATGCTTCAAGTATGCTAGCTTCAATTTCATTTCAATCCCATACAAAGTCATGTTGTGTTAACTGAGTGATTTTTAGAAGTCTCAGAAATGCAGGGCTGAAAAGGGTGACGAGGCCATCATATCTGACCTCTTTGTGGAGACAGGTTTAATACATCCTGCTCATCCCTGTTAGGTCTTTGTCTCACTTCTTAAGAACCTCCTGTGAAGGTGATCTGTAGGTAGCTAGTTCCAGGGCCGCATCAGTATGTTACTGAAAAGACTACACTTTAGCTGGTTAGTTCCGTGCTTTTTGTTTAAAGGCTAGATCAAAAAATGGTAGTAACTTCATTGCTAAATCAATAAAGTAGAATGGCATCTGGCACAGAAATTTCTCCTTCCTTTAAAATTAGGAGTGGTGAATCAGTCAGTAGCTTTAATGGTCAAATCTGTTTCCCCTTACCTTTGATTACACTTTCACCTCTTTTAAGAACAGCAATGGTAAGTGATTGCAAGAATAATATTTTTTTTTTTTGTCTATAGGTGTTTATGAGTTGACACACAACAATAAGACAGTATCACTGAAGACGATAAATGCAGTCCAGCAAATGACTTTGTACCCAGAGTTGATTGCCAGTGTTTTATATCAAGCATCTGGTAGCGAAGTATGTGCATTTCTCCTATTCCTGTGCTTTCATTATGGTTGTGTGTGTGTATGAGACTTTCTGTGCTGTGTACGATAAATACATGCAATTTTTATTGAATGAATTGAGTGAAGCCTCTTACCAGGTCCAGGTTCTCCTCAACTCTGATCAGTCTTTGGCATAGGATTTTGGGGATTTATATGCACTGAACTTTTCTGTCTGTTATCCTTTACTTCTGCAAACCACTTAGAAATGTGGAGAGTACCTGTGCTATCCATTAAAACCAGGAAAGTTAGCTCCTTCGGAGTATGGAAATCTGGTGTAGTGGTACCTGTCTCTACCTATTCCCATATAGATAAAAGGCAAAAGCATCTCTGTAGATAAAACTTTTGTCTCTTTCTGCTCTACTCGGGCTTTGTTCTGCTTACGCTGCATACTTGTATCCTCTCTCATTTATCTATCTTTATTGTGTATTTATTTTATGTATGCTTCTCTGTGTTTGTAACAGTTTTTGCCACTTCTTTTCTTCTGCAAGTTCCTCCCCTACATAACTTCTTCCAGTAGTCCTGGGAACTTTATATCTCACTGCTATAGATTTATTAAATCTGACGCATACAATGTTCATGCTAAAGCAAATACAAAAATCATGGCACTAGCAAGCTGAGTCCTGAAGTGTGCTCTTAATTCAAACTGCTTTGTTCTCCCTGAGCCCAAAATAAAAGCATGCTCAATACTTTTCTAGAATAGGGGCCATCTCTTACCTGTTTGTAAAGCACCTAGCACACTACTAGCAGTATGCAAATAGTAAATAGTAATCATTTCCAGCTTCAGCTCAGTTGCCGCTATGTCTCTTCGTTTTTATTTGTAATTTCAGGAAGTTATTGAGCCAGTGTATTTCTACATTGGTATAGTTTTTGGACTGCAGGGAATTTATGTGACTGCATTGTTTGTAACCAGTTGGGTTATGAGTGGGACTTGGCTGGCAGGAATGCTGACTGTAGCATGGTTCATTATTAACAGGTAAGAAAAACATCTTTATACAATCTAGTTTGTCAATAAGGCATTTTAAAATATTAGAGCGGATTGAAATGCTTTCTATTAAACTTTGTGTTCTCATTGCGAGAGCAAGCTCTTATGCCGAATACAAAACATCTCCCAGAGCTGCACTGGTTCTCAGGATGCTTTTATTAATGGAAAGGCCTCCTGTTCTCCAAACCATCCACACTGCCAGTTGAACTGATTTAAGTATGTATATGAATACAGGAGTATTCTCATACAATTCCATGTAGCAAAAACATTCCTGGGAAGTTTTTGCTTTTGTGCTGGTGAAGAATGAAAACAAATTTCCGAAGCTGCTGTAAAACAATTGCTCTCTGTGGCCAGCTCTAAATATTGCAATGTTGTTCTGTTGCTTAGCAGGAAATGCCCAAGCGCATTTTTCTTGTAAAGTGTCTTTGATTTTTTTTTTTTTTTTAAATCTGCTTTTTGTAGTGGGTTTTTATGCAAAGTGGAATCTTCCTAGATTATCCTGATCTCAAGATTTTTTTTATTTTAAGACTCTTCACTTGCAAGAAAATGTCCCTTCCCTTTATGAAACACCACAATAATAGGGAGCCTCATTCAAGCAATGAGAACTTGTGTTCAGGTTCCTGGTTTGTCACCAGGCAGCTCTGGGGCCTTCTGTGAACTTGAGAGCACTTGAAAGAAAAGAGCTATGGAGGAGCAAAATGTTAGAGAGATACCTTTAAAGTTGAACTGTTGGGAAGCGTCTTTTAGGAGCGTGAAGTCATCATGACCGAATCTGTGATTAGTAGCTAAAAATAGTGTTCATCAAGCTGGTGTGAACAGTGGAAAGTAGGAAAAATGGTGAATAAATCTGTATTTTTTTTGATAGCAAAGAAGATTAAACACTGTTAACAAATTGAAAGGTCCAGTGGTTAAAAAAGCTCCAAATACGCCTCTGTAAGAGGCTTCAGAGGTAAAAATGAAAGGTGACTCTTTCAAATATCTAAACGATAAAGGAGCTTGAGGCTCCTTTTTAAAAGCGTAGTAGACACAAAGAAGACTGTGTACCTCTGAAACTGATGCCTTTGATCACATTTGAAAGTGTGACTTGTGCTTCTAAGTCACTTTAGCACTTTTTAAAACTTTCTCCTACAGCTCTAATTGTGCAGATACTGTCAAGTCATTCCATGAGAAGACCCTGCTGCTGTTCTGGCCCATGATCCCCATCCGTCTTTAATCTCTTGTTTTGCTGGGCAGAATTTTCCCTGTAGACAGAGTATCTGCTGGTGCTGCTGCTATGAGGGAGCACTACTTTGGATTCTAAGTATGTTGTGCTCGACTGCCTGAATCACTTGTTTAAAACATATTGTATAAGAACCGAAAGAGCCTTTTCTCGCAGCTATGAGCTCATTTTCATCGTAATGTGAAAAGCTGCTGTTATGGCAGCGGTCCCCTGCCTATGGACCTAAGACCGTTTAGCACTGCTTGTGGCCAAAGAAGGCTCCGTTAGTTCAGGTTGGCAGAAGCAGCGCGTGATGCATCTGTCTCGCACAGTGTTGTGGTGGGTCAGAAAAGGCTGGAGGCAGACGCTTTTTGGCTTCAGTCCTATAAACGCCACCTAATAAGGAGACCTACTGAATAAACAAGCAAAGATTGGACCTTCCATGCTGATACTAAATTTGTGACCTGTATCAGTAGCGAAATTGTGTCAGTGTTACTGTATACCTAATACAGGGCTAGTTTGCTTGCAAGGCCACACTGATAACTAGAAGTGGTATTTAGGCTTTCCTTGATATTTTTGTTCCATAAATGTTTAATAATTTTGTTTGTCTGTACTTTATTCTAGGACAGATACAACAAGAATTGATTACTCCATACCATCAAGGGAAAATTGGGCTTTGCCATATTTTGCATGTCAAGTAGCAGCTCTCACAGGCTATTTAAAAAAAAACCTAAATTGTTCTGCTGAGGTAAAGAAAAATTAATTTCTTAATAAAGAGTTGCTGGTAGAGCTGTGCTCTAGTGTAGTTACCTGTGTCACTATTGCCCCACTAGACAGAAAACAGGAGATGTTTTGTTTGTTCTTTTCAAAACAGCCACTGGGATTTCACCTGGGCATGTGCATATTTTGCTAAGCGACTCGTGCCCTGCCCTGTTATGCCCCCATGAGGGTTCAGAGAGAACAGTGTGGTAATGAGCTGTGTGCTGTCTTTTCAAAATAAGCTGATGCAGAATTTTTCTCACTACGTTAACTATTTTGTTGCTCTTCCTGTTGCTTGGAGAAGATGGTGGTAGTTTCTTTTCCCTGTCTCTCTGTCAAAGATGTCTCTTCTGATTGGCTTTAAATGGTTTTGGATGTTTCAGTAATTACTTTCTTCCACCTGAGAATATGTTAAATATGTCTGAAGTCAGTATTTTAATTATTTCCTAAAATAATAATTAATTTCTGTAGTTTCTGTTTTAATGACCTCTCAGTTACTTAGTGACCGAGATGCATAGGTATGAAATTAATGTTTTGGTTTTTTTTTTCCTTTTTCTCCTCTAGAAGTTTTGTTACCTTTTGGTGAGTGCTTCAACATATACCTTCATGATGATGTGGGAATACAGTCATTATCTCCTGTTTGTCCAGGCTGTTTCTCTTTTTCTTCTAGACAGCTTTACCCTGGCACAGACAGAGAAGGTATTGGAACTCTTCAACCTACTGATACTTGGGGACTTAAATACAGCCTCAGAGGTGCCTGCCATGCATCCTGCTCAGGAGCCCCAAAGGGTGCAAACTGAGTGGTGACTTGAGTGTCTTGCAGCCTAGGTCCAGCTGAAGTGCATGTCATGTCCATTGGAAGAATAAAATGGCTTTAAACTCATTCTCTTTTGGACTACTGTTTTTGGGACCGCTTTCCTAACAAAAGGGTCAGAAGCTAAACAAAGCTTCTGAGACCTGAAACATCCTTGGAAAGCTGAAAGAATGATGAATGATACTCAGTCATGCATCCTTTTTGGCCTAGCTGCCTCTTCAT